AAGTTTATTAAAATAAAGTATTAGCAAACAATATGCAAAAACAAGTTTCTTAAGAGTTATGGCTTTGATAAGCACATGAGAGTAAAACCTAATTAGCACATTTTTGTAAGTATCAAAAAAGATGAACAGGATCGAGGCATGGTGCTAGACTCGCATTTTCCACAGCATCCCGTGCCTTTTCTTCATGGGCTCCGTGCCTCCCAGTTGACTGCTGTTAACCAGTGGATCCTCACTGAGGATCCTCTGTGGATCCTCACTGAGGCCCCCATACTGGAGCCTCTCCCCTTACCTGGGCTTGGTGGGGCCCTCGGGGGTTCTGGACGGCTCACCTCCTCTAGAACACTTCTCCAAGAAGAGCACTTGGAGCCAGGGCCATGGCTCTGCCTGCCCCTAATCCTAGTCACTCAGGAGGTGGAGATCTGAGCATTTGCTTCAGAAAACTCTCTGAGTCCCTTAACTAGTAAAAAGCTGAGGCTCAAGTGGTAGAGCTTTTTTTTTCTGCTTATGTGGTGCTGAGGAATCGAACCCAGGGCTTCATGCATGGGAGGCAAGCACTCTACCACTCAGCTACCTTCCCAGCCCACATTCTAATTTTTTTTTTTTTTTTGGCTGGTCATGGGGCCTGAACTGTGGGCCCGGGCACTGTCCCTCAGCTCTTCAGCTCAAGGCGAGCACTCTACCACTTCAGCCACAGCGCCACTTCTGGCTTTTTCTGCTTACATGGTGCTGAGGAATCGAACCCAGGGCCTCATGCATGCTAGACAAGTGCTCTACCACTGAGCCACCTTCCCAGCCCCTCAAGTGGTAGAGCTTTGAGCACAAACGCTATGGGACAGTGTCCAGGCCCTTAGTTCAAGCCCCAGGACCGGCACAAAAAGAAAATCCTGAAATTCCTATTAACCTATTTAATATCCATCATTAGATAGCCTTTTCTCCTTTCCTGAATTAAATTGCTCAGGATACATCATTTCTCATAGAGTTTCATAAGCATAAAACATAGATAAAGCAATTCATACTCAGAGAATTCTTCACAATCTTTGTATACTTCTCTGTTGAGTTGTTAACATGGCAATCACAACGAGCTTGTAATTTTGAGTATGGATTTTTTACTTCCTCAGGTAATTAAAAATTCTTCATAAACTAAACATTTAGTGTATTATCCATCTTCAAATGGCCTAAAAAGTGTACTGCTGGGGCTGGGAAGGTGGCTCAGTGGTAGAGCGCTTGCCTTGCATGCATGAGGCCCTGGGTTCGATTCCTCAGCACTACATAAGCAAAAAGAAAAAAAAAGCCGGAAGTGGTATTGTGGCTCAAGAGGTAGAGCGCTAGCCTTGAGCTGAAGAGCTGAGGGACAGAGTTCTGGCCCCACGACCGGACCCCAAAAAAAAAAAAGTGTACTGCTAAAGAACATAATTTTTTTTTTTTTTTGGCTGGTCCTATGCTTGAACTCAGGGCTTGGGCGCTGTCACCAAGCCTCTTTGTACCCAAGGCTAGTGCTCTACCACTTGAGCCACAGCACCACTTCCAGCTTTTTCCTGAGTAGTTTATTGGAGATAAGAGTCTTGCAGACCTTGGTATCCTCAGATTCCAAATTCCCCAATAGCTGAGATGACAGGTGTGAACCACTGGCGCCCAAACTTAATTATGACTGACTTGCTAGCGAAAGTCTCTGTGCACCTCCTTTTCCATGAGGATCCTGGGAGGGGCTGAGGTTGGCCAGAGGCTGATTGGACCATGCCTTCTCTCTTGCTGCAGGTGGTAGGTGGCAAAGTGAAGAAGCCAGGCAAGCGGGGCCGGAAGCCAGCCAAGATTGACCTGAAAGCCAAACTGGAGAGGAGCCGACAGAGTGCCCGGGAGTGCCGTGCCCGGAAGAAGCTCAGATACCAATACCTGGAGGAGCTGGTGTCCAGCCGAGAGCGGGCCATATGTGCCCTCCGAGAGGAGCTGGACATGGTAATGGTGGGGTGCCCTCAGTGCCACCTGGTGGTCACAGGATCCCCAGAATGGAGCAGCCTGTCCTGCAGCATCACTGCAAAGGCTGTTCTGTTCCTCTGGTAGCGTGTGTGTGTGCGTGTGCGTGTGCGTGTGCGTGTGTGTGTGTGCGCGCATGCACAGCAGGCTTACATTTCCTCACACCACTGATGCAGGGCAGTTGTGCCTGCCTGTTCCATGGGGAGATTGCTAATGAGAGAAGACACTAGAAAATCACCCTGGCTAAAAGAAGAGGCTCTACATTCATATACTGTGACTACTTTATGGCCAGGCATGGTGGCCCATGCCTATGATCCCCTCACACTGAACGCTAAAGCAGGAAGATAAGTAGATTGAGGCCAGCCTGGGCTGTCTAGCTACTCTGTCTCAAATCACAGCACGTGTATCTATTTCCTGTTGCAGACGTGCAGTAGAACGCTGTGTAATCGTGGCCAGGTGAATTTCCATGTTTATCCAGTTGTGGGGTGATGGCGGTTGGTGTGGGATGATAGTGATGCCAGCATGAGCTCTGAGATGCCGGGGCAGAGACTGCAGCCAGGCAGAGAAGGCAGCCGGGCAGAGACCTCAGCTGGGCAGATACCAGGGTCCCTCACCTGTGCAACACCAGAGCTAACGCAGGTGCTGATGGCATGTGTACCACGAGGTCATGGTGTGGAGGCTGCGTGTATATGTGTGTATGTGAGAGAGCTGGAGGGTAGGCAAGGGAAGTGAGAGGAGCACCCACTAGATTTCCCTCAGGCTTGGGGGACAGCACACTGGGGAGACAAGAGTTCAAGCAGCATCTGACACTTCATGAGAGGGATAACCAGCACCCATGGGGGTGGAGCGGGCTCCCTCCCGCAGTGTGCATGTGACCTTTCACCGGTACTTGCTTCTCTTCCAGTACAAACAGTGGTGCGTGGCCATGGACCAAGGAAAAATCCCTTCTGAGATCAAGGCCCTGCTCACTGCAGAAGAGCAGAGCAAATCTCAGCAGAGCACCAGCAGGCTCGGCAAGACCGGCAAGGCAGACGCCGCCAGCAATTCCTGTGCGTACAGCGCCCGCCCTGGGGCAGCCCGCAGGCCGGGGGTGTGTGTGTGTTACATGATGCCTGTGCTTAAAGCATGAGCTTGATGTGGGGGTGCAGTGCACAAGTGCAGCTGAAGGGGCCATGCATTCTCCATACTGAAGTAAGATTCCCATGGTGTTCATAGAGAGCAAGCGAAGGCCAAGTGTGGTGGTGTGCACCTGTAATTCCAGCGCCAGGCTGGCCCGACCACCTAGCAAGAGCTCCGTCCATAAGCAGGAGTGGCATCACTTACTGTTTCTAGCTCACAAGAACTTTCACGTAGGTTAAATATTTAATAATTGCAATGAAGGTTTATACTTTTAATCCTTTGGGAGTACACACTATATGCTTAGCATGCCTGAGGGCCCGGGGTTCGGTCCCAGCTCCCACAAAATGGAAGAATTAGGAGCGGGCTGGATGAGGACCCCCCCCCCAGGCCCCCAGGTGCAGTGATGGCGGTTAAACCAAGGCTGTTGGAGGGCCATCTCTCTAGTGAGGTGAGATACACTAGGAGCTGTGCAGTGGGGGGGTGGGGGGGCAGGTAGGTGAGGCACTTGGTCATACCATCCTCAGGGCTGGATCTTGCTTGGGGAGAACGCCTAGCTTCTCTGTGTGTGCACTGAGTTTTGTTGAACGCTCTTTGTCTAGTATTCTGGCCTCTCCCAGGTCTGGCTGGCGGCCCCCCTCCCCCACTCAGACATCCTCACTTCTAGATGGCCTTGATGCACAAAGTGTCCATTTGGAGGAAATGGGCTTATCTTGTTCTCCGTGTTGCTCAGAGCTGGCGTCACAGCCCAAGGTCAGGAAGATTGGCAGAAACGTTTATCTCAGAAGTTGGCTGTGGCTCCAGTTCCCGTTTGTTTTTCTTGACAGCGTGAGGGAGGCTGTGGGCTATGAACAGCACTTGTTCAGACTTTGAAGACTGTATGTTGTTGGGCCTGCTATAGTGACACACTCCTATAGTCCCGGTACTTAAGAGCCTGAGGCAAGAGGATTGTGAATTCTGGGCCAGCCTTGGCTAGTTAGCCATCTAAGAAAAATGAGGATGAGGAGGATGCCAGGTAGTAGCCTCATTCTGCAGATGCTCTGGTGACACTGAGTAGTTAGGAGAAAAAAGCAGTGCTGGAGCGCCTGCTTACAGGCACTTGAACGAGAGAAGATGCCACCTTTCATAAAACCTGTGTGAGTTGAAGAGGTGGGCTTGATGTTTATTTATTTATTTTTGGGTCCGGTTGTGGGGCCTGAACTCTGGGCCTGCGCGCTGTCTCTCAGCTCTTCAGCTCAAGGCTAGCATTCTACCACTTGAGCCACAGCGCCACTTCTGGCTTTTTTCTTTTTGCTTATGTGGTGCTGAGGAATCGAACCCAGGGCCTCAGGCATGCAAGTCAAGCGCTCTACCACTGAGCCACCTTCCCAGCCCTTGATGTTTATTTTTATCTATAGCCAGTCCTGGGGCTTAAACTCAGGGACTGGACTCTACCAGTTGAGCCACAGTGCCACCTCTGGCATTTTCTTTTTTTTTTTTTTTTGGTCGGTCGTGGGCCTTGAACTCTGTTCCTGCACTTTTCAGCTCAAAACGAGCGCTCTACCGCTTGAGCCAAAGTGCCACTTCCGGTTTTCTAGTGGTTTATTGGAGATAAGAGTCTCACAGACTTTCCTGCCCAGGCTGGCTGTGAACCATGATCCTCAGATCTCAGCCTCCTGAGTAGCTAGGATTACAGAGGTGTGAGCCACCAGCACCCGGCTTCCGGCATTTTCTGTGTATGTGGTACTGAGGAATCGAACCCAGGGTTTCATGCATGCTAGGCGAGCACTCTACCACTGAACCACCTTTCCAGCCTTGATTTGATGTTTATTAACTGAGTCCAAACTGAATAGTAAAAAAAAAAAAAAAAGCAAAATTTTGCTACTTGTCTCTTGGTTTGCATTTTTTCTCCCTCTTTTTGTTTTTCTTTTTTTGGTTGGTCATGGGACTTAAACTCAGGGCCTAGGCGCTGTCCCTGAGCTCTTTTGCTCAAAGCTAGTGCTCTACCATTTGAACCACAGCTTGACTTCTGGATTTTTGGTGGTTCATTGGAGATGAGTCTCATGGAGACTTTCTGTGCCTGGGCTGGCTTTGAACCATGATCCTCAGATCTCAGCTCCTGAGTAGCTGGGATGACAGGCGTGAGCCACCAGTGCCTGGCCTGATACAACTTTTCAAAAGACAAAGGTCATGAGTTGTAGGACAGGCTGGGCAGACCTCACCGACCAGTGAACCTGGTGTTTTTCAGGGTGAAGGTCTGTGAGGAGATCTGATCGCCACCCCAGGCCTTGGGTCCGACTCTGAGAGTGTGCGGCATCTGCCAGTTGTGCAAGCGAGCGTGGATCACAGATCAGAGCGTAGAGTTTCTGCTCTAACCCATCATGCCCACCACGTTCAAGTGTGGCGATGCTCGAACACCGGGAATAGAAAACGGGTGAAGACTGGGCCTTGGTACCTGCACTCCACATGGCTTCTTTGGTTAATTGATGTTCTTTCCACGTAATTGTGTGCATGGGCGCAGTGCGTGCATGTGTATGTACATGTGTGTGCGAGTTTGGGTGTCACCTCCTCTCCTTTTGGTCACCCCACAAAGAGAAACCAAACGGGCTGATGACGGACTAGGTGCTGGGTCTTTACGTTGACTTGAGTCACATGTATTTCTGGCTCCTGTCAGCCGTTCCAACGTAAGCATTAGTGAATCTACAGTCTCTGTTGTCACAATCTACACCTGTGCTCCACAATGCACATATCAGCAAAACCCACCGAGGAGGCCCCGTGGCAGCCCCCGTCTGGGCAACTGCTGTCTTCCCAGCTATACTTAACGATTTTGCCGCAGCCACGTGGACACGTGGAGAGTAGTGATCACATTTGATTTTTAACCAAAGCAGCCATCAGTCACCCACAGTGTGTATGTGTGTGTGCCCGTCTGTGTCCAGAGGACTGGCCTGCTTGTGTTCTCAGTTCAGTGAGAACTTTCTGAAGAAGATGGAGAAGCAGATGTTGAGACTGAATCTTGCTATCTGGGGCAGAGCCAGGCTGTGTTCCTCTCCCCTCCCTCCCCCTCCCCTCCCCTCCTGCAGGCACTGGAAGAAGCAGACTCAGCCTGACCCGTCCTGTGCACAGTCCACACTCAGATCACTGGTGAGCGTGGCCAGCAGGTCCAGTTTCTGCATTGCGTTCGCAGGAGATTCATGTCTTCCTAGGGCCGTGCTGGAGACAGAATGGAGATGGCTGACCGTGCTCAAGGATGCGGCTGATGATTTAAAGGCGGCTTCGGATTGTCCACTGGTCAACTGTGGTCTGTTCTTGTTCCTCTGTGCTGCCCGGAGTCCTTTCAAAGCAAACATTCCAAAGTGAGCGTCGAGGAGCCCCTGTCTGGTGGTCCCTGTGCCTGGTGCATGATTTATTTGACTTTTTCCACTTGGTATTTTGGACCTGATCAGACCAAGAGACTCTCCTGGGCTTGAAAAAAGTTCCGATTGCCGTGGGAACGGTGCTGGCCGCGCACTTTGATCGAAGCCATGAGCCCTGCCTCCCCCTTCACCCTTCCCCTTCTTCCTTCCCTCCCTCCTTCCCCTCCCCGCTTCTCCCTTCCTCTCTCTGTGCAGGGCATGTGAGGGGGCGCCCCTGCTTGTCCACTGGGGCTGACCCCCACTGAGCACAGCCCCCATCCCGCTCCATAGAGAAAGGCACGGAAGTGGGGAAGCGTGGTGTGTATCCCAGAGACCTGCCAGAATTTCAGCATCGGCTCCCCAGCATGGACCAGCAGGGAGTGCAGCCTCCCAGGCTGGGCCAGGGCGTAGGGCCCAGGTGAAGTCAGAAATCTCTCTCTTCTGTCTAAATCACAACTATCACTGTTTGCCAACTAATTGACTAAACTCAGCATCACCAGTTAGCGTTTTATTTTATCCTATCATCTTTGAATTATGATAGATTTGATTTGGCTAATTACCGAAAGTATAGGTTTAAACTGGACTTAACCTCTAGTTAAAGGCAAATAAAACTTAAAAACATAAGTGCTGTATTTCACAAATCAGCTGCGTAATATCAATTACCTCTTTAGTTCTCAAAGGACGACGACGATGAAGCCACATGGTATTTGGGGCATTGAAGGATTTTTCTTTTACTGAAGAGCATTGTACAATTATATTTTTATGAGAAATAAAAGTATCTTCGCCAGAAACATGTCCAGCTGTCTTTTTCAGAGCACTGTATGTAATATGTCTGTCTGCTTAGCGTCGTTTTTAAAAAGTATGGGATTTAAAGAGAAAAATCGGTCTGGGCCCATTTCTGAGTCACCTTGAACGAGAATATCTTGGCTCAAAATTCAGTGGATGCAGAAAAGTCTGTGAGACTCCATCTCCAAAGCAACCAGCCAAAAGCCAGGCTGGAGGCATGGTTCAAGCAGTAGAGCACAAGTCAGGCAGGCAGCTGAGTGAGCACAAGGACCTGAGTTCAAACCTCAGTACCACCACAATAAATATAAAAACAAACGTGAATGTGTCTGTGTCTGGTGGTAAAACGTGCCTAGCAAGCATGAAGCCCAGGATCTAATCCTCAATACCAGAAAGCAAAGGGGTGATTTGTTATGCAGCAGTAGATGCCCGTTACAGAGCTGTTTTCCTTAAGTACATATTTCATAGTTAATAGTCTAGAACATCTTCCACCAGCTAATGACAAAGGCAGTCCTAGCTCTCCTTCCTGCTTTTCAGATTCCAGACTCCACAAGCAACTCCCAGACGACTCCTAGCCCCAGTTGTTGTGGAAGTGCTGTCTGAACCTGGAGCTTGCTGGGTGGGGGCGATCACCCACAGGCCCCACTGCTCCTCTGGCTGGCTCAAGTTCTTGTCTCCATTGGGGAGAAGTTCCTTCTGCAGAGCTCCAGGTTCCCAGCCCAATCAGTATGTGCCCAGCTAATCATCTGAAGTAAAAGTAGCTGCTCCCTGCCCCACCCCATCTCCTGTAATCATAAAGCAGCATGCCAATTTCAAATTTTTCAGAAAAATCAAAGGCCTGGATGCTGGTGGCTCATGCCTGCAATCTTAGCTACTCAGGAGAGTAAAGACCTGGAAGAATGTGGTTCAAAGCTAGCCCGAGCTAAAAAGCTGAGGGTTTCCATGTTTAGTTAACCAGCCTTGGAGGCATGACTCAAGTGGTGTGTGGACCATGAGCAAAAAAGTTGATGCAGCACAAGGCTGTGAGTTCAAGCTGTATTACCTGAGAATACAAATTAAAGGGGCTTTTGTGCCAGGTGCCCGTGGCTCATGCCTGTAATCCTAGCTACTCAGGAAGCTGAGATCTGAGGATCACGGTTCAAAGCCAGCCCAGGCAAGGAAAGTCTGTGAGACTTGTATCTCCAATAAGCCACTAGAAAACCGGAAGTGGCACTGTGGCTCAAACGGTAGAGTGCTCACCTTCAGCTGAAGAGAGCAGGGACAGCGCCCAAGCCCAGAGTTCAAGCCCCACAACCGACCAAAAAAAAGAAAGGGGCTTTTGTAATCGTTATTTTCAGTATTGGGGATCAAACCCAAGGCCTTGTATGTCAGGTGGGACTTGAGCCACATATACCCCCAGTCTCAAATCCAAGTTCTTTACAATACTTGTGTGCCTCTGTTTCGATCTTTCTTGGGGTCTCACCTCTCAATCACCAAAGCTGTCTTTTTAGCACCTGCTCTCGCTTGATTCCGCGTAGGCCTGTGTTTGCCCCAATGGCGGCCCGTGCCCCAGAGTGGCTGGGGGCATTCCAGACACGTTCCCTGCTGACTTCCCTGTGAGTGAGAATCCTTCTGTGTTCTGCACCCCAACTTTTAAGCTGTTCCTGCCTAGCAAGCATTTGGAAGGGGCAGAGGGCAAGTGGACCTCTGCCACCTTCTTCCTTTCTGTCCCACTGGACTCCTTCCCTCCCAACGCCCTGAATCTAAAGGTCTCACCCAACCCAGACGGAAACCCAGGAAGGAAAGCCGGCCTGTGGTCGGGCGATTTCCACTGTTCCCAGTGGAGCTAGCACAGGCCGTGTGGTGCTAAAAAGAACTTCCATGCACACACGCACGCATGGCAGCAGCAGAATTTAACAAGGAACACAGGCAACTTTTATTGAGGCCTTTCCTGAAATTTTCCCTAAGTAGGGGTATGTGTGTGTGCACATGTGCGTGTGCCTGTGCACACCTTGCACTAATCCTGGGGTTTGAACTCTGCTTTCGCTCCAGCTTGACGTTTTCACCTGAGGCTGGCGCTCTACCACTTGCACCATACCTTCCTTTCCATCAGGCTGTGAATTCTGAGTCCCACGCTAAAGGGGTAGAAAAGGGAGAGACCCTGGCAGATGTGGGGTACCACTGCCAGCTTGGGGGTCCCGTGGGGTTAGGAAATGGTCACGTTCATATAGGTAACCCCGTGACTAGTGCGTGCGTTTGCAGGTTTCATGTGGTGGGGGAATGCCATCTGGTACCGGGAAGTTGTTTGTTCTCTGACTAGTTTATCTCAGCCTTGTCCCTCCTGTGCTGGCAGCTGCCGCTGGCCACACCGCCACCAAGCGGCCATGCCAGGAACCTTCTTCATACTTGGCACAAGCCGAGGGTAGGGGTGAAACGGTGCTGAGCTGGGGGTGCAGAAGGCATTTTGGTTGACCCTGATGTCACCTCTTTATGAGTTCATCTTCTGAATAATGTGGGCTTGGCTCCTTCTGTGCCGACTCTAATTTGCTTCTTTCGTTTGTGCTTATTACAGATGGGGACAGCTTCAAAGAGGGAAAATTAGGCAACGCTACGCAGTTTCTACCTAAGGTTCCTGATTGTTTCGCCATGAGATTAAATGATGGGAGGCTCCCAGCAAGATCTCCAACGTAGCAGGCACTGGTGGCTCACGCCTGTCATCCCAGCCTCTCAGGAGGCTGAGATCTGAGGATCACAGTTTGAAGCCAGACAGCCAGGAAAACCCATGAGACTCTTCATCTGCAACTAACCAGCACAAAGTTGGAAATGAGCTGTGGTTCAAGTGGTAGAGCACTAGCCTTGAGCAAAAAAATAAAGAGAGCTGAAGGACAGCACCCAGGCCCTGAATTCAAGCCCCAGTACTGGGTAGGAAAAAAAAAAGACCCCCCAATGTATGGAGCAGGGCTTTGCATTGCCTGTGGCTACAAGAGAATGTGGACAGGACTCCTCCTAGATGCTACTTGGTAGAAGTAAGAAAAGCTCCTGGAATGTTCCACACTAGCATATTTGAGAATGTTTGAACTATGTAACCCCATAGTTTAAAAAAAAAAACTCAGTGTGGAGGGAAAAACATATATGGTGAGGCAGAGGAGTCTTCAACCAAGACGGAAAAAGGGAGAAAGATGCTTCTAGAAGGCATCAAACTGACACACGTTGTAATTGTATGGTAATTATATTGTAACTAATGTATATATTTCTTTTTTTTCTTTCGGTGCCAATCCTGGAGCTTGAAATCAAGGCCTGGGCGCTGCCCCTGAGCTGCTTTTGTTCAAGTCTGGTGCTCTACCACTTGAGCCACAGAGCCACTTCCAGTTTTGGGGGGTTTTTGGTAGTTTGTTGAAGATAAAAGAGTCTCATGGACTTTCCTGCCCAGGTTAGTTTGAACTACAAACATCAGATCTCGGCCTGTCAGCATGACAGACGTGAGCCACCAGTGCCTGGCTAATGTACATTATTCTAGGCATCCAACTCACGCACGCTGTGGTGCGATATCTGATGTGAAACCAGCTCTATTCTGGCAGATGAAAGCATGTTAGAGAAAGAGACTTGAACCAAAAGAGCTCAGGGATGGCACCCAGGCCCTGAGTTCAAGCCCCAGGACCAGCCCAAAAGAAAAAAGAGACTCAGAAAGTAGGGTGGGAGAAAAATACATCAAATCCTCTCTGTTTTTCTGATCCAGAGCGTTTTTAATACCCTGCACAGGACAGTCACAGAAGGAACCGAGGCGCTAGACGAACGTGTTAGGCGGGTTTGAGTTGATGGGCCATGCCAGCTTCTTGCCCTTGGCCTCCCGGTTGAAGGAGTCATAGATGGAGTCTTTGGTGCCGGCCTTGGCGAGGGGCGGGATCTCGGAGATGCCGACGTAGTTCCGCTTGGCCATGCGGGAGCTGGTGGTGATGGTGTAGGCATTGCTGCGGTAGCACTTGGTGGCCGACATGCAGAAGGTCTCCTTCACGCCCCGCCTGAAGTTGGCATTGGAGATGGCATAGAGCGCGGGCTTGGAGGCCGAGGAGCTGAAGGCGATGCAGGCGACAGCCGTAAACACCAACGCGCTCTGCCGGGCGTCGTGCTCGCCGGGGTGCCAAAGCTGCGCCACGTGGAAGGGCAGCCAGGAGAGCAGGAAGAGCAGGCTGAGCAGCAGGAACACCTGCACCGTCCTCACCTTGGTCCTGGGCACCACGTTCATGGTCCTGCGCACCGCGCGCCCGTGGCCGCCCAGCCTCCAGATGTGCCTAGCCACCCGGCGGTAGACCAGCACCAGCAACGCCGAGGGCGCGGCGAAGGCCGCCAGCACGTGCAGCACGGCGAAGGCCGTGCCCGGCCAGGACGCAGGGGGGAAGTGCGGGCAGTGGCCGTCCCCGGCCGGGCCGAAGAGGAAGAGCACGGGGCTGGCCAGCGCCGCGTCCAGCAGCCACGAGGCGGCGATCATCCTCTTGGCCTTCTCCCGGGACACCTTGAAGCTGAGCGGGTAGACGACGGTGTAGAAGCGGTCGACAGAGATGCACAGGAGCACGGAGGTCTGCACGCCGGGCGTCAGGTACTGCGTGAAGCGCACCAGGCGGCACGCAGCCCCGCCCAGCGCCCAGCGGCCCAGCGCGAACTGCAGCAGCACAAAGGGCGCGCCTGCCACGCTGGCCAGGAGGTCGGCGCACGCCAAGGACACCACAAAGTAGTTGGTGGTGGACTGCGCCCTCCGGCTCCTGTGGATAACCAAACAGACCAGGGAATTGCCGAGGACAGAAGACAACCACAAGGTCCCGAAGAAGACGCTGGCCGCGGCCACTTCCCCGGGGGTCCGCGCGTACCAGGGGCCTGTCCTGTTGCCGGGCCAGCCGGCGTCCTCATTTAGTCCCAGCGGGCCGGGGCTGGGTGAGGCCGTCTCCACCTCGCTGTGGTTGTGGACGGGCACCGGGAGGGTGGGGAAGAGGAACGGTGGCCGGCTCCTGTCCATCGTGAGCGCAGCCATGTTCTCCGCCTTTCGGTCAGTTCTACGGAGAAGAAAAGAGTGAGCCCCCATTAAAACCCTGTCACATGGTCTGGAGATAAGGTCCCCCCCACCGATGGACTGCTGTCCCATCAGGCCTGGGCTCCTCCCTCGGTAGTGTGGGTCCAGATGGTGCACTGGGGTTCAAACTCAGGGCCTGGGCGCTGGGCCAGGCTCCGACTCCACCACTTGAGCCACAAGCTCCACTTTTCGGCTTTTTTCTGGTTTATTGGCAATAAGGGTCTCACGGACTTTTCCTCCCCAGGCTGGCTTCAAACCTTAATCCTCAGACCCCAGCCTCCTGAGGAGTTAGGGTTACAGGCGTGAGCCACTGGCACTCAGCTTTGGTTCCTATTCCCCCCACCCCCAAGTTCTAGGGCCTGAACTCAGGGCCTGGGCGCTGTCCCTGAGCTATTTTACTCAAGGCTAGCGCTCTACTACTTGAGCCACAGTGCCACTTCTGTCTTTTTGGTGGTTCATTGGAGTTAAGAGTCTCACAGACTTCCCTGCCCCAGGCTGGCTTTGACTTATGATCCTCAGATCCCAGCCTCCTGAGTCAGGCTCAGGCCAGGTCTGAACTCAGACAGGCACACTGGTCGCACAGTCTGGATTTTCCTAGACTTAGCATGTAGACATGGGAATTCATAGTAATCCCACGGCCCATGGCCCACGATGCAGCTGCTGAGTGCCCGCCAGAACATGGGGGGAACACAAAACACGCCGGCTCAGGGCCGCACAAGGGTGCCAAGAGTGCAGGAGAGGCTCTGTCCCCCTTGAACGGGAGGGGACTGGACTTCACCATAGCTAGCAGCTGGGGCACCTTCTACACAGACGGGAGGAGCATGGACACCCGTGTGCACTGTCCAGGAGGGGAACCACCTTGTACATTTAATCATTTTCTGTTAGAAAATACCATGGCACGGGGCTGGGCAAGTGGCTCAGCCATAGAGTGCTCAGTTTGCATGCATGAGTCCCTGGGTTCGACTCCTTGGCACCACATAAGCAGAAAAAGCCAGAAGTAGCACTGTGGCTCAAGTGGTAGAGCCTTGAGCTGAAGAGCTGAGGGACAGTGGCCAGGCCCAGAGTTCAGGCCCCACGACCGACAACAACAAAATACCATGGCAGTAGATAATTTTCCTCAAACCCTTCCTGCACAGGCTTGAGCTGCCTCTCTATAAAAAGCTGGGAGCTCGCACCTGTCATCCCAGCTATTCGAGAGGCTGAGATCTGAGGATTGTGGTTCAAAGCCAGCCCAGGCAGGAAACTCTATGAGAGACTGATCTCCAATAAACTACTCAGAAATGCCAGAAATGGAGCTGTGGCTCAAAGTGGTAGAGCGCTAGCCTTGAGCACAATGGGACTCAACGACAGTAGACAGGCCCTGAGTTCAAGCCCTAGGACCATACACACACACACACACACACACACACACACACTAAAAATAAAACTTCTCTAACTTCACAAAATATTCACTGCAAGTAAAGGTGCTTCTTGGGCAAGAACTTCTGGATTCCTGGGTTTTAGGAACAGGGCACCCTGCCCCCTTCACCCCTCTCTTCCTCCTTCACACAAATTCTAAAATAGTAGAACGAGAGGCTGGATGGTGGGCCCGCAGGAGAGCTATCCCCAGCTTCTGCCGTCTTCACAGCAGTGCTGTGAAAGTCAGGGCCTACTCCACACACATGCTTCCAAAAGACGGGAGTTTATGTTCCAGTCATTCTGTCTCTGAAATCCATGGTCTTGGTGGAAAGGAATGGAGGTGGGTACCAGTGCTCTCCACAGACTGCTGGACCAGGCAGCTTGGGCTCTGGTGTAGCACAGTGTGAGGTGTTTATCTGTGGCAACAGCTGGAGGATGTGTCATTTGGGGGCCACCCTGGCCCCAGAATACAGGAAAAGGCCAGGGCACTTCCCCAGTTCACGCCATGTACATCAACAGCAGATGTGAGGGAAACCTGGGCTTGGCAGGCCCTCTAGTGCTACAACAGTGTCCACACACCCACAGTGGACTGGGGTGAACTTGGACTCGGGACGCCATCTAGTGCCAGAAACCAGCAGCGATTGCAGATTTAAAAGAGCAAGCCGCCTGCTTGAATTCCAGGCAAGGCCAGGGCAGTCTGGGGATGGAGCGGGAAGGAGAGGAAATCTTCCAAAGGGATGAAAAGAATGAAAAGAACTGGGATGGGAATGTAGCGCAGTAGTAGAGCATATGTGTGAAATGAACAAGGTCTCAGGTTCAACTCTCAGCACTATCTACAGGGGGTTTGGGGGTGGGGTCCCAGGTTCAGTCAAAATAAGGTCCCAGAAAATGCTGGACACCCTGTGGCTCACACCTGTAATCCAGGCTACTTCAGAGGCTGAGAGCTGGAGGATTGTAGAAACTAGGTGGGGTAGAAAAGTACTCAAGACTACATTTCCAGTTAATCAGCAAAAAGCTGGTTAACTGGAAATGTAGTCAGGCCCTGAGTTAAACTCCAGTACTGGTGAAAAGACCAGAATGGAAATAAACAAAAATCAAGATTGAAAAGCAAATATAAAAGATCACCTAAACACCTGGTTCTCTGGGAACAAACTTTACAAACCTTATTTAGATGACAAAAAAAAAAGAAAGAAAGCATAAATAAACATGCAGACACAAGCCAGCCAGCTGGACAGAGACGGAGCCAGTGGTTCACGCCTGTCATCCCAGCTGCTCAGGAGACTGAGATCTGAGGATTGCAGTTCTAAGCCAGCCCTGGCTTAGAAAAGTCTGTAAAGAATCCTCTCTCTAGAAAACTACCACAACAAAGCCAAAAGCAGACCTCTGGCTCAAGTGGTAGAGCACCAGCCTGGAGCACCAAAGCTTGGGCACAGCGCCCAGGTCCTGAGTTCAAGCCCCTAGACTAGCACAAAAGCACAGGAGAGGAAGCCTTCTGGGAAAGTGTGCATGTTACACACCAGCTCTTGTGTACAGGCCACTAAGCAACATCACCCTGGGGTGCTGGACATCTTGGTGCTTACTGTCTTGGCCCACAAATGCCCCGTGCCCACTGGTTGTGCAAATATGATCAACAGCACAGGAAAAGGAACTGAGAACGATGTGTGGCACCAAGCAGGTGCTCTATAAATATTTCCTTATCACCATGGGGCACTGGCAAACACAGGGAAACGGGGCCAGGTACGGGTGGCTCACGCCTGCAATCCTAGCTACTCCAGAGGCTAAAACCAGGAAGACCCCCCACCCTGGTTTGAAGGCCCAAGACCTTATCTCTGAGTAACTAGCAAATGCCAGGATGGAGGCGTAAACCAAGTGGTACAACGCCTGCTGTGAGCAAGAAGGTTGAATGTGTGAGGCCCTGAGTTCACACCAGTACACACATACAAACCCCCCAAAACTTTAATACTCTTTTGGCTTTGCTAGTAATAGTGCCCCGGAGCCTAAACTTGCCTTCAGCCAAGTGTACCACATTTACACGAGAATCCTGAGGGCGCACCCCATGTCCCGCCACACCCCACGAGACTCCTGTCCCAGTGGGACCTGTCATTTATCTCAGGAGGAACCAAAGGCTCCGAACTGGAAGAGAGGGGGTTCAAAGCTCCAAAGGGATGCAGTTACTCCCCAAAGTACTGCGCAGTACTCAGCACTAGACGAAGAACAGCACTCAGTCAAGAATTTGCAACTTCAAGATTGCTGCCCCAGCTACTTCTGGAAAGGCTCGCAGGAGAATACCTGCATCCACACAGGACAACATTAAAAAAAAAAATGAGCGTTTCTCCTTGCACCCCGAAAGTCCTAACTGGCAAGGAATGATGTGTCCCCTTACTTTGCAGTGTGATATTTATTATTATCATTATTATTATTGTTATTATTATTATTTTAAAGCTGTGGATCTAGTCTGTTTGACAGCCTATGTCACGGGCATTGTTTTAAGATGTTTTTAATCCCTATAAGAACAAAGTAGAGGGGATAGGATGGTGGCTCAGTTGTAGAGTGCTCGCTTTACATGCATGAGGCCCTGGGTTCGATTCCTCAGCACCAGATAAGCAGGAAAACTCAGAAGTGGCGCTGTGGCTCAAGTGGTAGAACACTCACCTTGAGCTGAAGAGCTGAGAGACAGCGTCCAGGCCCAGAGTTCAAGCCCCACAACCATCACCATCACCAACAAAAAAGACAACAAAACAGTGCATCCTGCCCAGCCTGTGACGAGGGTATGTCTGATAGCAGGGTGCTTCTAGATTCAATTTAAAAAAAAAAAATCAGCCATGATGTAATCCAGGTGCTTTTTCCCTTTAGCCATCATTCGGTCACCATGGCAACGTGGTGTCTTACTACCAAATATCTATACAGCCAGAGAGAGGTGGGAAGGAAGGGAGACAGGGAGGGAGGGAGGGAGAACGAGCAATTACTTACTGGGTTATTTGGGGGTACGGAATGTGCCTGTGCGGATAATTCAAGATCAAACGTCAATTTCCCCGGGGGTCTGGATGAGCCGGGCGGGCTGATTTATTCCTCCAGTAGCTGCTGCGAACTCACTGCCGACAAGCAGGCCGTCAAGAATGCCCACCCTGGGGTCCGAGTCCTTGGCTCCAAACTCCAGGTCTATTTGTAAGCTCTGAGACCTGAGCCACGTTCCTTAACGTCTCTGCGCCCTGGTTTCCTCCTTTTTAAACCGTGTGCTGCAGGAATGAAAATGAGCCGGCTGCTGGTGGCTCATGCCTGCACTCCCAGCCACTCAGCAGGCTGAGATCTGAGGGTCATAGTTCAAAGCCAGACAGGGCAGGAAAGTCTGAGAGACCTTTAACTCCAATGAACCACCAAAACGCTGGAAGTGGCGCTGTGGCCCAAGTGGTAGAGCGCCAGCCTGGAGCAAGAAGCTCAGGGACAGTGCCCAGGCCCTGAGTTCAAGGCCCATGACATACATACATACAGACAGAGACACACACACACACACACACACACACACACACACACACACACACACAGCCGAGTCCCTGGCAGATTTT